TTCTTCCCATAATCACTGGTCCTCAGCAATTATTTAAAAACTAAAAGTTTTCACTTCACATCCATTAAGATGGCTAATTATTTCAAACAACAGCAACAACAAAATAAGTATTGGCAAGGGTGTGAAGAAATTGGAACGCTTGTGCATTGATGGTGGGAATGTAAAATGGCACAGCTGCTATAAAAAACAGTATAACAGTTCCTCAAAATATTAAACATATCGGGCCGGCTGAGTGCCATGTTGGTTAAGAGCTGGTTTGGGACACCAGCTCTGAGCAGCAGGGCCCTGGTTTGGATCCCACATGAGGGCCAGTGACGCTGTGCCCTCTACAGCTAAGATGGTTAACAACAGCTCAACCTGGAGCTGGGCTGCCATGAGTCGCCGGCGACGACGTAGGCTGCAGTGGGGCTGCAGTGCGCTACCATAACCTACCGTGTATGGCCGGAAGCTAGCGTGAGCGGCCGGCAGCCGCTGTGAGTGGCCATCCAGTGGCCGGCGACCAATCTGCCTCACCCAGGAAGAGCACAATGACAATACCAACATGGGCCAGTGAAGCGACGTCCTTCACAACTAGACTGAAGAACCAAAGGACAGCAACTTGTCTATTCCCCTTCCCCTGATTCCCCAGAGCTGTTCCCCACCAATTCCCCAATAAAATCTAAAAAAAAAAATTTAAACAGAATTACCATATGATCCAGCAACTTCACTTCTAGGTACACACCCAAAAGAATCAAAAGCAGGGGTTTAAACAGATATTTGTGCACTGATGTCCATAGCAGCATTATTCGCAATCGCCAAAGGATGAAAGTAACCCAAGTGTCCATTGATGGATGAAAGAATAAGCAAAATGTGATACAGACATACAGTGGAATATTATTCAGCCTTAAAAAGGAATGAAATCCTGACACGTTACAACATGAATGACTCATGAAGACTTTACATTCAGTGAAATAAGCCAGTCACAAAAGAACAAATACTGCGTGGTTCCATTTATATAAGTAACTAGAGTTGTCAAATTCATAGATACAGAAGGTAGCAGGGTGGTTGCCGGGAAGTAGGAGAAGCGGATAATGGGGAGTTGGTGTTGAATTGGGACAGGGTTTCAGTTTGGGATGATGAAAAAGTTCGGGGGATGGGGGGGTGATGTCGGTGGCACAACAATGTCAATATACTTAATACCCCTCAACTGTACACTCTAAAATTATGGAAATGATCATTTTTATGTTATATTTATGTATGTTTTACCACAATAAAAACATTTTCATTTTACAGAAGCAAAAAATCACCTCCAGAAAATAAAAAGGCTGGTGTGACTCTGAGTCCAAGGAGAGGTGCTTCAAAGCATGGCACAGGGGTGGGTAACAGGCCACTTTCCCGCCCCCGCACAGAGCCTACCAAGCCACTGGCACTGACTGACCCTGAGTTCTTTGCCCTACTTCACCACGCTGGGATCCACGGTTGACTCATTTCTTTTCTGGGGTCCATCTATAATGACTCTGCACCCCTAAAACTCCAACCACAAGAAGCATGGTCCTCTGTGAGGTTCCTTTTCCCTCATCCTATTCAAAACCTGGAAATAGGCAAAAAAAAAAAAATACCTGTGAGTCTTCTCCAAGTCCTGTAAATTGGCCAACAGGCCCGTCCAGAGTCAGCTGACTCTCTAGGGCATGCAGCTTTGTTTGATGTTCTAATTACTATTGATTAGGGCCCACGCTCTGTAAAGTTAGATGTTCACTTGTAGAAAACAGATAAGGTCCAAGTGATCTCCATCCGGTAGAGAAAATAACCCCAAAGGTTATGGTTTTATTGCCCTGTAGGATATTGGCCAATTTTGTATCTAATTTAGTCATCTTATTCCATCACTGTTTTTCATAGGAGCTTCTCATATCCTCCTTTGAATCATCTTTGTTCAAAGATTCTCTCATTGAGCTAAATAAGATTTTGATTGTGCTCACCATGTATTGCATGAGAATTATGTTTTCAACATTTTGAGAATTATAACTGAGCATCTGGGAACCTGGAGAGGTGTTCACATGTTCCACATATAGTCCTGGAGGGCTGCTTGTCACCCCACTGTCCTGCTGTTCCTTCTGTGGGTCCCCCTCTTCCCTTCCCCTCCTTTCCCTTCCCTCCCCTCCCCTCCCTACCCCTCCCTTTCTCTCTCTCTCTCTCTCTCTCTCTCTCTCTCTCTCTCTCTCTCTCTCTCTCTCAATATTTGAAAATTCCTGTTCTTCTCTGCTTCTACCCCAGCAATAAAACCACATCACATCTATAGCAAACAGCTTAAATGCCGTCATCACAAAACACAATATTTACCATCTCTGTTTGCCTTCCTGCACTTAGATTTCTTCTTCCAGGCCTCTTTTTAGAAAACCAGGTGGTATTTGCCTTACTTGTATAAAGGAACCACCCTGGCGATTTTCTTTAAAAGGGTGGGGGGAGGGGTATAATCCAAGGACATGTGTGTCTCCACTTCTAGTAACCAACATGGTTTCCAGAAATCAACTATCCTCAAGCGAGTGCCCTCATCAAGTTAAAAAAAAAAAAAAAAAAAGTAAAAACCCTCTTTTCCAGATAACCTAATACAATATTTTAAAACTGATTCTTGTTGTTATAGAAAAAAAGTCTTTTTTCTTATTTTGTTTCTAGCATCTTATTAAACTCTTTTATTTGTCATAATTAATTGTTTTGAGTTAATTTTATTGGGTTTTCTAGTGATAAAATTGTCTTTGGCAAATGATAATTTTCCCATAGCTGCATTTTGTAATTATGTTTTCTGTCTTATCACATCAGCTGTAATATTCATTCTTTGCTATGATTAAATGTGTTGAGCTTCTGAGCAGCTATTGAGAAAAATGTATTGGTGAGCAAAGAGGCTAGGGACTGGGTAAGCAGTTAAAAAAACAAACAAACAATCATCGTAATTTGAGTCTGGGGTGATAGGATGAGGCCTGGACCAGTAGGATGCCTGCAAAGGCAGAAATACAGGGAAGAGAGAGTTTAGATGCTGAATCAGAAATGAGGGCAGAAACTGAACACGAATCCAGGTCTGCACACCTGAAGTCCAGTGGTACGCCTCAGTGACCAGGTATGGGGGCACCCATTCCACTTTCTGTATCACAGTGATTGTTTTAGGGATAGGCACGTGATCCAGACCTACCCCGAAAGACCTTGGCATTCCCCATCCACGTGACCCAATTGGTCCACTCAGAAGTGAAGTTCAGGCATTTTGTTGGACGGTTGGCCAAAGGGAAGCCCTTCTCTGTCTCAGGATTTGGAGGAAGAAGCTAGACGCTACTGGCACCCACCATGGAGAAGGTGGTCTGAGCATCAGGAGTAACAAAGTGTGGATCAAACCTATCTTGAAGCTCATGCTACCTTTGGACTTTCAAATCACATGAACTACACATTTCTTTTGTGGTGGGATTCTGACACTAGCTATATAGAGTCCCAACTGATACACCAGGAAATTGACAATATTTGTAATAGCTACTGACAGACCTGCATCAGGAGGCCCCTTCCTCCAACCTCAGATGTTTCCTCAAAGACACCCTCACAAGAGAGCCAGGACCTAGCACCCACCATCTGCACACTGCTGGAGGTCTGTCTGGGGACATCAGGACTCTGTCCAGGAGTACATTTGTGGGTCCAAAGACCTTATGGTGGAGAACTAAGGGTGCTGGTGGCGACCAGCTGGATTTCCTGACTCGGAGTAGGTGGGACACTCAGCCTTCCTCATCTCATTGTTGCGCTGGGGATTCTAGTAATCAGAGTGGCCCTCTCCATGAAATGAAGGGTCAGAGGGCAGAAAGGGTGGGAAGAAAGCTGACCCAGGGGAGGATGGAGAGATTCAGTGGGCGGGGGAGGGAGGTGACAGGAGGTGGCCCAGGCCCTTTCTCTGAAATCCTGTGAGCTTACCTGGGGGCTGTGGTGCCATGGCCCAGTGTTTACAGGATCTGGTTGAAACTGTCAGTGTGAAATCTACTTCCTGTGTCCTCAGCATGATCAGGTCTATACCTAGGGGTCGGCTGGTGTTGCCACACTCCATACTCCAGTATCCAGAACCCCAGGAACCCAAAGCAGCCATTCTCTCTATTTGCTCATCCCCCACCATCGCCTGCCATCTGAATGTGCAGAGCACGCATGCACACGAGCACCTGGACATGGAGTCTGGGGACAGGGGTGGGGTGAGGCCTGCAGGTTATCATGTGCCAGTGCCCATCCCCAGGGCACGCTGGCACTAGGCAGGCACCGCCTTCCACTGCTGCCTTGTCTGCTCGCCACCCCCAACAGGCACACCATGCTCCTGTTGTTTAATTTTGCTGAACACCGAGTCCCAACCCCGTGTTAATTGGTTTTACTCCAGCCTTTTGTACCTCCCATTAAATGAGGAAATGCCACCCATAAAAATTTAATTTTAAAAGCCAACTTGTTTGTTTTATATTGAAATTCCCCAGGCAGCTCCAGCGGAGGAAACAGACACATTTTCGTTTCATTAAAGCAACTTGAGTGAAGATAAAAAAGAAGCTGAAAAATTAGATTTAAAAACAGAGCGAGAAGCATTTAAAGAAAATGAATGAAAATGAGCTGCTGCAGAGGGCAGCAGAGATAGCAGCTCCACCACTGCCCGCCTCTCTCGGCCCTGTGCCTCCTGCAGGGGAACAGAGGAGCAGAAAGGGTGGTCGGTGGACACTTGGCTGGGGCCTGGAGAAGGCAGGACCATGGACTCTTCTCCCTGAAAATTAGCCCCCGGATGTCCTAGAGGAAGCAAACTAGACGGACTCCACCCCGGGGCCAGCAGCAGCCTCTTCCTCAAAGACAACCTGCATGATGGTTAAGCCAACTGGGTGTTCCTGGCTCTACCCCTTACCAGCTGTGTCATAATGGAAGGCAAGGGGCCTCGGTTTTCTCATCTGTAAAATGGGAACAATAATGTTACGTTGTTGTTGGTCTGGAGGAGAGCAAGGCCACATTTGAGAACCTCTGCAAACTCATGAAAGAAATCCTGGATAAGAAGGTTGAGAAGGTGACAGTCTCCAATAGGCTTGTGTCTTCACCATGCTGCATTGTGACGAGCACCTATGGCTGGACAGCCAACATGGAGCGGATCATGAAAGCCCAGGCACTTCGGGACAACTCGACGATGGGCTACATGATGGCCAAGAAGCACCTGGAGATCAACCCCGACCACCCCATCGTGGAGACCCTGCGGCAGAAGGCGGAAGCTGACAAGAATGACAAGGCTGTCAAGGACCTTGTGGTGCTGCTGTTTGAAACTGCGCTCCTCTCCTCTGGCTTTTCATTTGCAGATCCCCAGACCCACTCCAACCGAATCTACCGCATGATTAAGCTAGGCCTAGGTGAGCATCCCTTCACCAGAGTGTGGCAAGGCAAGGCGTTGGGAAACTTGTCTCCTGGGGACAGATTTGACTTAATGCTATTTGGGTCAAATGTCATGTGACATTCTTTCCATTTTTAGGCATTGATGAAGATGAAGTGACAGCAGAACCCAGTGCTGCTGTTCCTGACGAGACCCCCCCCTTGAGGGAGATGAGGATGCCTCTCACATGGAAGAAGTAGATTAGGAGTTCTACCTGCAAATCTTGTGCCCTGTGTATAGTGTCTCCATGGCTCCCCCAGCAGCCCTGAGTGGCCCTGGCCCACCTCGTTTTCTCTGCTGATGTCTAGTGGTTTTTTCCTCTCCTGTCTTTCTGCCTAAGGCAGGATACAAGGGCCTCCAGCCTTCCCTTCCCACATTTGACATTGGGTTTGGAATGTTGTGTGTCGTGGGGAGTTTTTTGTTTGTTTATTTTGTTCTGAAATTAAAGTATGCAAAATAATAATAATAATAATAATAATAATAATAATAATGTTACGTTGTTGTGAGGATTGAGTAGGATAATACCTTAAAAACACTTAAAACAGAGCCTGGTATGCAGTAAGTGCTTAATAAATGTTAGCTTTTATTACCTGATCCTGCTGCAACCCTTCCACTCCATGCTCCTAATACCGTCCCCTCTGCTGAGTACGCCTGCCTCCCTCCCTCATCTACACATCCCCTCACCACTCAAAGGTCCTTTTAATGATGTCTCTAAACTAAAGACAGCTAAGAGACATCGAGGTGAGGTCTGAGGAGAGGTTTGGGGAACCCCCATTCTATGGCACAATTCTTGTGGCCCAAACCAACTCATTAAAATTTTATCATAATCCTTCTAAGGAAAGCCAGCCTCCCTGGGTTCAAATCCCAGCTCCACCATTTAACCAACTGTGTGTTCTTGGACAAGAAAGAGTCTTCTGGTCCTCAGTCTCTCCATCAATAAAATGGGAACAATAACTGGCTCAGCCACACATTGTCATGAAGAGCCAATCCAACAAGCTCTGCGGGGTGCCCAGCACAGCTGAATGCCCAGCGAATGGCCACTATTCCACATCAGGTCTGGGGGTCTGAGGCTGTGGAGGTGGAGAAGGGGGGGGCAGGTGTTTCCATAATAGAGTGACCTCACCTCCCAGTTCCTGGTTGTTGCCATGAGGCAGCTATTAATGGCGCTCCCTTTCATTCTCCAAAGTGTCATAATCTAGATGACTAATTATATAGTCATCCTACTCCAAATTTCCCATCCCAGTGAGAGGCCTCAGAGCTGGAAACCCTGAGCCCTAACCTCACACTTGGCTCAGGCTAATGAAGTTCATTACCTCACTTAACCTGATCAAGAAACAGGGTGGGGAGAGGCCTGGGGAAAGGCCAAGGGTGCTGAGGTGGGAGTCTGGGATTCCTGGCCTCCTCCCCACTGGGCAGTTTGCACAACCACTGATCCTTAACTTCCTCTTCCCTCCCAGAGGAAATTGGTAACAGTACTATCTTACCAACGGTTGGTTGCAAAGATCAAATTCAACCAGCAAATGAATGTGAAAGTGTTTTGTAAACTGTCAAGTGTTGCTCACAGTCTGATAAGTACCATTAGGAGGTCAATGACATCCACTCCAAGCAGAATTTCCAGCTTCTTCTATTCCTGGAGGTGACCAGAGCGGGAAACACAGAGAATTACAAAGGGGCCCAGATGGGGAAGGGGCCGTCTGCTCAGCTCCTCAGCACATGGAGGTCCTATAACTCATAGCCTGTGTCCCACAGACCCTGACCCACTTCCCACAGGCATCCAGCATCTGCCCAGGGCCCGCTTGTCCCCCCGCCCCCCTCAGGGACACCTCCTCCAGGCAGGGGCCATCGCTGCCCCCAGGCTCCATCCCATTGGCTGTGAGAGCTACCTGAGGGTGGAAGGTGAGGGAGCTGCCTTGTGGGCTGCTTCTCAGAAATGCTCACAGAGGACATCTTAGGGGCTGCCCCTTTTTATTCTAGGCAGAATTTTTTCCCAGTAGTTCCAAAATTATACACTGAGGAACACCTAGGACTTAATGACAGTTCTGAGAAAGTGAGACCATTGGGTGGGGCTCCAGGCTCTCTCTTCTCCCTCCTCTCTCTCTCCCTCCCCCCCACTCTCTCTCTCTTTCTCTCCTCTCTCACTCTCTTCAACCAGAACAGCTCTATTTTATATATATGTATATTCTCTCCAAGATTTTGCTTGCACAAAAATGTCCACCGTTAAAATGTTTTTACAAAAACACTCTTCTGTGGCTCCCCTTCTCTTCCTTCCTCCCTTCCTGAACTATTCAATCCTAAAGCCCCTGGGTACAGAAGAGCAAGGAGACCTCTGTGCAGGGGTGGGGGAACGTTGGAGGACCAGAGCAGGACGAGGAGGGGTCGTGTGGGGGAGGCAGCCCAGCATCAATGTCAGAGGCCCCCGGCAAGGTGAGGAGATTGTCTATCACAAGGGACGGTCTGGCCTGAAGTATCAGAATACAAATGGGGCAAGGGGGCGTTCACACGCGGGACAGCTGGTGCTGATGTCAGCTCAATCAGGTTAAGTAGGGCAGTCATGCAGGCCATGCAGGAGGGATGCGCCCAGCATGAGGAATCAGAGGCCCAGCTGGATGAGGAGGGAGCCTGCCTGGGAGAGGGTGCAAAGCCTGAGTGAGGAGGGTGTCTAAACGAAGGAAGTGGGTAACCCTGCCAGGGGAGTCACAGCCGGAGAGGGGGAGGGACAGAGAGAAGAGGGACGGCCCAGATGGCCAGGCAGGCAGGCAGGCCTCAGGCTCTGCCTCCTCTGTGGCCCGTGCAAATCCTTCCTAAAGCCAAGGAAGACCTAGAGCACCTTCCCAATCAATAGCTGAAGTCATCAAATATTCATTAAGCACCAGTGACGTGCCGGGCAGCATGGTTGGTGCCGGGGAGAGAACCGAGATGGAACCTGACAACAGCCCGGCAGGGAGGACAGTCATGGAGCCACCATTATTGAATGGGAGCTATGGGAGCACCTGGGGGGAGGGCAGCAGCACGACCTCTCCTGGGGGATCAGAGAAGAGGCCAGGTGAGGGGTGAAGGAAGATGAGTTTGTCAATGGGGCCGTTTGGCAATGACTCTGGACCCTGTTTCTCCCGGGCCCATCCTCACCCACCCAGGTACATCCCATCCCCAAAGGCCAGAGCCACCAAGAACCTCACAAGAGGCCTTTCCATCCATCCTGGTTCCCCAAGACCTCCAGCCTAGTCTCAGAACTCGGGCTAGATGGGGGGCTTCAGGGGGCTGTCTCATTTCTTTGTTCCAGCCCCCACTTCAGCTGGGGGCTCGCCTAGGTGGGAAGGTCCCCACTCTGCTTTCCTTTCTGAGGTCCAACATCCCTCTTTTTTTTTTTTTTTTAGCTGAGCCATCCCGCCACCTGTTGGTAGCTCACGGCTGCTCAGCTCGGGCTGACTCGAACCACTGTTGCTCAGAGCTCAAACTCTTTTTTTTTTTTTTTTAAAGATTTTTATTGGGTAATTGGGGGGATGGGAACAGTGATGGGGAATTGGGGGAAGGGGAACAGACAAGTTGCTGTCCTTTTGTTCTTCAGTCTAGTTGTGGAGGACATTGCTTCACTGGCCCAAGGTGGCACCATCATTGCGCTCTTCCCTGGCGAGGCAGATCAGTCGCTGGCTTCTGGACGGCCGCTCACTGCGGCTGCTGGCCGCTCACGCTGGCTGCTGGCTACATATGGTAGCCCATGGCAACCCACTGCCACAGGGACTGCAGCCTACGCCGTCGCCAGCGACTCACAGCAGCCCAGCTCCAGGTTGAGCTGTTGTTCAGCATCTTAGCTGTGGAGGGCAGTGTCACTGGCCCTCATATGTGGGATCCGAACCGGGGCCCTCTGGCATCCCAAGCAAGTTCTTACCAACTGAGCCACTCAGCCGGCCCTCCAACATCCCTCTTAATTGAGAAGTTCTGACTGGTGTTTACATCTAATCCCTCTTGTTTTCTCTATTCTTAAGAGAAATGGCTAACTGAGGCCCTTCACCAAACCCGCTGAAACACTGATGAAGTCAGTCATGGGAGGAGATGGGGGAAAGGAGCCAACCAAGTCAGCGAGTTGGGTGGGGCCTGCACCAAAACCCTCCCTCCTCTCCCCCTCTCCCGTCCTTATTTCTTCCTTGAAATCCTAACCTACCATCCTTCTTTTGGGTCTCTCTGCCCTTCCCACGCTCAGGTGAAAGCCCCACTCATGCACCCCATCAGCACAACAGCCCTCAGTCTTACTCCCAAAGAGCCCTTTTAGCATAGAAATCCTGCAGAGATCCCACTCTAGGTGGTCCCTTCCATTTGGGCCTCAAGATGGACCGGCCCAGCCTAGAAAAAGGATCGCCTGGACTCCTTACGACCTGATTTTCATACTTGTAACAGCCCCAGGAGAGGTGGAGGTTGGACCCGGAAAGGACTTCTTTTTGCCCAGAGATGAGGCAATGGCCTCCCAGCGGTTACCAGGAGGGGGCGCGACAGGCCAGCCCACGGGTCGTGTGATCTGAGGACCCAGCCAGGTCGCGGAGGAGCGAGGGAGGGTCTAGCCGGCGCTGGGAGCCAGAGGGTGCCGGGCAGCTGGGAGAGCTGTTGGAGGAGCCAGGACCACCTGGGCGGAGGCTGCACACCCGCGCGCCCGCCCCTACACGGGAAAGGGAGTGGCATCGCGTTCCGCCTAGTCATCGCCTGCAAAGACTCGCGTCACCTCTGATGTCAGTGCTTCAAGGGGCTTCTTTCCAGCTCCGGGCTCCAGGAAAGGGCGTCGCGGCGCCAGAGGTTACACAACTTCCCCAATGTCGCGGTTAAGAGACGTGCAGGCCAGGGGGTTCGAACCCAGGTCTGTGGGCGCCTGCTGTGTGGGTCTAGTGCCTGCCAGCATCGTCCGCAGGTGGCCTCGCTCCGCGCACCACCCTTGACGAATCCCCTGCGGGAGCCAGACCAGCCTTGGCCTAGCTTCCTCCTTCCTTTCTCGTCTCTAAAAGGGTCTTTCGTGGTAAGAGCTCCTTGGCAGTTTTATCATTTAAAAGAGCTCCCTGAAACCACAAATGTTTTTAAATGAATTCAGGCCCCAAATTCCCGGAGTGGGGTAGGGAGGCGGAAGATAATGATCATCTTTTCATTGTGAAAGATAGATGCGAAGGGCAGGGCGCAGGGGCCCTCCACCGACCTCCAGAGCTGAGCTGGCGGGGATATGAGGGCCCTCGCGGCTCCGGGAAGTGTCTCCTTTTGAAAACTCACCGGTCCTTGTTCTGAGTGTTTTGAGTTCAGTCCATTATGAGAAATCTTTTGAGGATGAACATATTCAAATCCAGATGTTGTCCCCACAGAACAAAGAGCTCCCTCCAAATTCTCTTTATGGAGAAGTAGCTTCTCATCCATTGAAGGAATAACATCTCTTGGTAAGTGGAAAGTTTTTTCCCCCAGCCAAGAACTTGCTGCTGTGAATTTATTAAAAAACAATTTAATAGCCTGTCTCTGTTCCATTTCAGATGCAAGGACAGCAGCGACAAGATGGAATGTCACCTGCTGATAGATTTGATTCAATAGAATGAATATGGCTTCACTAAGGAGAGAACGTTGAATTTTTTTTAAATATGTTATTTATTTAGATAGATTTCTTTTAATTCAAGACATATACATTCTAATGGGACAAGTATAAGATGACATACAGATTATCATAAAAACTTCCCAAACCATACACTTCATTTTGCTGATTCAAAAATGTTTGAATAACAGCTTTTCAGAAAGAAGGGTGCATTAGATGTACACATCGATTGTAAGACAGCACCAATTAAAGTAATATCCATTTTTTTAAAGTACACCTTAAAATAGGGGAAATGTGGATTGCATATTTTACTATAATATATATATATATATATATGGATTTTTATCAGTAGGGTCTAATATTTTTGTTGAAACTATCTGAGAGCCCAAAGCAGGAACCTTTCCTCACTCTACTTGCATACCACTGGTGACAGGGTGTTCACTACCTCTGAATGTAATCTTTTTCCTTGTGGGGATGTTCTGGCAGTCAAAGTTGGTGCTCAGCCCCTTGTTATCACCACAGGTCCTAGTTCAGCCCTTGGAGCCAGGCAAGGTTATACTATTGCTCCTACCTCTGCCCCTCTGAGTCTGTATTCTCCAAGGTCAGTACCCCCAAGTCCTCACTATTCCTTGCCCTCTACAAATTGGACTCTGGTCTTTCCCTGTCCCCTCAAAAGTATGGCAACCAGAACTGAATGCAACCCTCCAGCAGTCACCTCCCTCATCCCTAACCCTATACCTCTATAGATGCAGCCTGAGATCACATTAGTTTGGGGCTGAAGTAAAATGTGATGAGATCACATTAGTTTGGAGCTAATAATGTGGCACAGAGAGGTCAAGCAAGTTGCCCAAGGAAGCAGGACTGGAAGGAGACAAAGTCAGGATTCAAACTCTTAGCCCTTCCAGTGAACCCCAAGGGTTCAACGAGTTTTCCCAGGGGGTTCATGTCTCTAAATGTAGTACTACCATCTGTTTCTACTTCTATATTTTAATCAATTAATAAACACTAATTTATTAATTTTTTTAAAGGGAACTGTTCGAAAGATTCGGTGCTTATCAAGCGGGGATTCAAAATTATCAGACCTTTTATTAATCAACTGAACACTGCCAGCCCCTGGAATGGTTTTGCATATGACACAGTTTTAAATTATTTTGATTATAATAACAAATGTATAGTCTATACTCATAATGCATCATGGGTTAAAAACACAAATTCTAACCAAAAACTGGTGCTGAAATACAAGTTAAGATAGGAAAAAAATTTTAATGAAAATATTTCTGCAAATTCCTCTTATCTACACACTGCTTACATCTGATCACAGTCTCACACATACTTGATAAATGCTGTTGGGACCACCATGTATCCACCAGGATAATTAAATTTGATCCCTACCTTACACCTATGCCAAAATTAATTCCAATAGATACAAAAAAAACAATACATAAAAAAATGAAACCAGGGCAGCTGGGTGGCTCAGTTGGTTAGAGCACATGCTCTGAACAACAAGGTTGCCAGTTCGATCCCCGCATGGGCCACTTTGAGCTGCACCCTCCTTAAAAACATAAAAAAAGAAGGAAAAAAATGAAACCATATATGTGTTAGAAAATAACGGGAGAATTTGTGTCATAAATCTCAGAATAGAGAAGTCCTTCTTAAGTAACACAGAAAACCCCCCAAGCCATAAAGAGAATGATCTGTTTGTTTACACAAAATTGAAATTTTTTTCCCTGGGTAGAAAAGAAAAGAAAAAAGAAACTCATACACAAAGTCAAGAAACAATTCAGTAACAGGAAAAGAAAATATTTGAAATATATTTCAAAGCACTAATTTCCATCTTCAGACCTCCTACAAATCAATAGGATAAAAGATTGATAATTTAATAGAAAAATAGGCAAAAGATGTAAACAACTGGTCACAAAAACAATACAAATCAGTCTTAAATATATGAAAAAAGTGAAATACTAATCGGACTACAATGAGATAACCATTTTTTATCTGCTAAAATGGGAAAGGTCAGTATGTCTGATGGCCCAATGTGCTGGCGAGGATATGGTGACACAGGCTCTTTTTATTATTGCTGGTGGGAAGGTAATAGTACAATTTCTATGAAGAGCAATTTAGCACTATTTTTCTAAAAGTAAATGCACATATACTCTTTGTTACGGATTGAATTGTGTTGTCCCCCACCCCTCCCAAAAAAATCTTATGTTGAAGTCCTAACCCTCAGTACCTCAGAATGTAACTTTATTTGGAAATAGGGTCATTGCAGATGTAATTAGTTCAGATGAGGTCATACTGGAGTAGGGTGGGCCCCTAATCCTATATGAATGGTGTCCTTAAACAAAGGGTAAATTAGGACACAGACACACACGCACAGGAAGAACACCATGTGATAATCAAGGCAAAGATGGGATGACGTGTCTAATAGCCAAGGAACACCAAAACTTGCCAGCAAACCATCAAAAGCCATGGGAGCGGACTGGAACAGAATTCTTGCTCCCAGCTCTCAGAAGAAACCAACCCTGCCCATACCTTGATCTCAGACTTGCCCATAGCTCCAGAACTATGAAATACAATTTTCTGTTGCTTAGCCACCCACTGTGTGGCACTCTGTTACGGCAGCCCCAGCAAACTAATACACCCTTTTTGACCCAGCAAGACGAGTTTATCCTAGAATGTATTTGCACAGTTGCAAAGTGATGAGTAGCCCGGGGTCTACACTGCAGTATTGTTTGTAATAGCAAAAGACTGGAAACAACCCAAATATCTATCAGTCAAAAATGGCCTAAATAGGGCCGGCCGAGTGGCGCCTTGGTTAAGAGCTGGCTTGGGATGCCAGAGGGCCCCGGTTCAGATCCCACATATGAGGGCCAGTGACACTGCCCTCTACAGCTAAGATGCTGAACAACA